CCTTTCCTGAATCATGTCAATGGTTCTTCTGCACAATGAGATGGTCACGGGGGTTCCTTCCAACTCTATATTTCTATGATTCTGTGGGAATTTTATGCATTAGATATCCTGCCTTTCCTCCAGCAGTTCAAGGCTGGGTAGATCAGTGTTTCTCACCCTTAGAACTTTTAGGATGTGTGGATTCCAACCCCCAAAATTCCCCAGCCGGCAGGGTTGGCTGGGGAATGCTGGGAGTTGAAGTCCACACATCTTAAAGTTGCTAAGGTTGAGAAACACTGATCTACCCAGCCTTGAACTGCTGGAGGAAAGGCAGGATATCTAATGCATAAAATTCCCACAGAATCATAGAAATATAGAGTTGGAAGGAACCCCCGTGACCATCTCATTGTGCAGAAGAACCATTGACATGATTCAGGAAAGGTGGTTTTCCATCCTTTTCTAAAAAACCTTCCAAGCTGGAGAGCCCATAATTCTTGTAGGCAGACTCCTCCTATGTTGTACAGCTCATACTCCCAGCAAGACCTCATCTGCTACCATCTCCCCATGGGCAGGATCGTACCCTGTTGCTCCCCCACCCCCCAAAGCCCCAGCCACCTCTTTCTCCCTTCCACATCCAAGGCCTACTCACGTTTGGCTCTCTGCGGGGCATGCATAATCTTGCTCCCTCGCCGGATTTTGGGGATCTTGCTTTTATCCCCGGTTGGTGCTATCATGGAAGTTACGCCTGTGATGGTGGAGGGCTCTTGCTTGGCACCAGCTGAGATGCCTGTGCCTTGATGAGCGGCAGGTCCCAGAGTTCCAGGAATGATGGCCACGACTTGGTCCTCTTTCTCCATCTGAGAGGCGGAAGCCATTGCTGGCACCGTGAGATAATCCATGATGCTGCTTGCTGCTTCCACCCCTCTGACATCCAGATGCTTCAGCAAATTCTTCTCTCACTTTGTTGCAAGTGGGGGGCTCTCACGGAACAGAGGAGATGCCCGGGTTCCATCCAGGAGACCAGGCATTCTTCTGTGAGGTCATAATAGGCCCAAGAAGAAAGTTGTAGCCACCGACGCTCTGCAGCTAAGGAGTCCCCAAGTTTTGGAGCCGGCAGACATGTTTAGATGCTTGGATGATGAGCAACTGTGCAAAACTGCTGCCAGGCAAGGTGGGCATGGTCACAGGTACACACTGACCAGGATGCAAAAGGACAAGGTTGCTTCCCACTGCCACCAATTTTAACCCTCAAGGATATTCGCCCCATCTCAGATTCTGATATTTTTGTCTGGGTGGGTAAGCCCATTCTAAGCAAAGCTTGCACTGAAGTCCCCCCCCCCCCGCACTCCTTTTTAAAAATTTTCTATGAATGCCAACAATGCATATGCCAGTTTTCCACTTTATGTGGTCGTAATTAAAAGAATCGAAACAAAAATAAGTTCAGATCTGATGGGCAGGGTCCAGGGAGAGGTTGTAGATCCCTTGGCAATTCTCATCTTTGGAGAAGTCCTTCCTGGCCGGAGGAAAGGACCACAGCTATAGCTGCTAGAGATTCTGGGAGCTGATGTCTAAGACAGCTGGAAGAAGTTGGTTTAACCCTAGGTTGAGGAATTCTAATGGTATGTGGGAAGGACCTTGGGAGACTGGGTCAAGAGATGCTGCCAAGGGAACAGTCAGATAAGAGATAGCATAGCCCGCAGCTGCATAATGGGTGGAGAAAGAGGCTCAGAAAGGACCCTCCCTAGTTTCTTGGGCTGTAAAAGAGATGGTGGGAGAATTGTACTTTCAGACTTGCAAGATTCTGTCAATGTAGCTTTACAATAAAGAACAGTCAGATAAGAGATAGCATAGCCCGCAGCTGCATAATGGCTGGAGAACGAGGCTCAGAAAGGACCCTCCCTAGTTTCTTGGGCTGTAAAAGAGATGGTGGGAGAATTGTACTTTCAGACTTGCAAGATTCTGTCAATGTAGCTTTACAATAAAGTAGAGTTAGCTCATTTGGTCATGTTTCCTATCTGGTAAGGCTGATAGGAATGCCTAAGACCAGGTGCTGGTCTTCTCTTCTAGGGGAATGAGAATTCCCCTTGGTTTCATTTTCCACCCAGGAGTTCTTGCTTGCTTACAAAGATCTGCATGCAAAATGCCAACTTGGAGTTGATGCTCAAGCAAGGTGGTCCTGGGCGTTAGGAGAATGAAGCTGCTGCTGTGGGTGGCTGAACAGGAAGGCCGGCTAACTGCCTGAGATCCCTGCCGGCCGCCCAGAGAACGCTGCAGGTCGCTGGCCCGTGAACGAGAGGCAGCGCTGATGCTCTCTAGCTGGCTAACGGCAAGCCGTCAGCTTGCACAGGAGAGGCAGCGTGGCTACAAAACGCAAACGCTGGCTATGGATGAAAGACGCAGCGGCTGGTAGCCCGTCTGCAGATCAAGCGATGCTGTACGCATCAGCCTCCAGGGATACGCCAGAAGAAACAAAGGCAGGCTGGTCTCCTGCACATCTCAAAGTTAGGTTTATTTTCAGATAGCCCAGGATTCCATGTCCAGAAGGCAGGGGTAGCTGGTAGCTCAGACGTGGTTTGGCTTCCTCCATCCGCTCCAGTTTCCTTTCAGGTTGATTTCTGGAGATCTTCTAAGGACTCTGTCCTCCGATACCTGAAACGCAAGTGCCACAAGCTGGAGCTCGCAGATAATAGAGATGGGGCCCAAGTCAAATGGCTGATTTATCTGCACGGCCCCCAGAAGGTCTCCTCTTCAGTTACTGATACCTCTGGGTAGAGCGAAGGCAGACCCCTTCCTCAAATTCTGGAGGGTCATTGCCAATCAGTGCAAGAATATTGAGCTAGATAGGTAGATTCCTATTGGGAGCTAAAACCTGAGGACTGGAATCTTTTTTCAGAATCATGAGGACTGGGAACTTTTTTTTTTCAAACAACGCTTGTAAACTCAGTAGCAGAGAATATGCTTTGCCTGCAAAACATTCCCAGTTTGGTCTTCAGCTAGGATGACGACGATGATTAGATTTTTATCTCACCCCTTAAAATAAATTCTGGTCAACTCAAGGTGGCGGATATGTCTAACACTCCTGCCTCTTATTTTCTCCACAACAACCCTGTGAGGTGGGTTGAGCTGAGAGGAAGGGACTGGCCCAAAGTTCCCCATCCAGCTTTCATGCCTAAGGGAGGCCTAGAACTCACCATCTCCTGGTTTCTAGGCCAGGATCTAACCACTGCACCAAACTGTCTCTCAGATTGAGAAAGAAACCCAATTTTAACTCATGGATGATATAAGGAATCTTTCTTCCTTGTTCAAACATAACTGCTTTAAAAACTGAAATAATGTAAATACAAATAATACAACTCTCTCTCATGGCTCAACAGCAATCAATGGCTGTGTTGGTGCCCCCTGCTAATCCATGGTTAACTGAACCAACATTGACTGAGCTAGCCCAAATGCCCAGCTTCACACAAAACACTGAACCACCGAACTATTCATACAAACACTGAGCTAGAGCTAGAAATTCGCCTACCACAAAAGCTGGGTTTATTCATTGCGCCGGGCAACGCTTTGCCTAAAGACGGGTTTACTGAATAAACCGCAATTGGCTGGGTCCATAGAGCCAAAACAAAACAAATCACGTTCTAGCTTAGTAGGACATGCGAATAGGGCCAAATGTGAAGATTATATGTTCCTATAGTAAAGGATACAATATAATATATAATAAAATTATATTCCTGGGATGCTCTATGGTAATTAATTGGGCCAACACAGTTAGATGAAGCCCAGCCAGTTGGCAGCAGAACCTTGGTTCATCTGCAAAACTTAAGCAGGACCGGCTGAGCGCATGGATGGAAAACACCAGGAAATCCCCATCTGTGATTGGAACGACCAGGATTAAAATCCACTCTGATGGAGGCAGAGTGCCCTGCTTCACCCAAGAGGCAGGCTTCCAGTCCCCTCCATCCAAAAAAGTGCGAGGAAAGGATCCGGGCAACCATCTCTTCTTGCTAACTGTCTTCATTCTTTCATTCTTTCATTCTTTCATTCTTTCATTCTTTCATTCATTCATATAGCCACCCATTTATAGATGCAAATGCTGAGACTGCAGAGCAATGAAAACGATGGCGCGGATTTTGCACTGCCAGCAGCCAGTTTCTGTCCCCTTCCAGATCTATTTAAAAAGGGCATCAAGGTTTTCTCCGCCACTGCAGCCTACTCTACCAGGGCCAGATCAAAGCCAACGGGTGCCCTAAGAGCAAACCCACAAGGGTGCCCCTCGGCCCTTCCATTGCATAACTGACCAGACATTAAGACCCAATAAAGGTTGAAAGCTAAAGTCAAGTGTGGCAGTGAAAGAGTTAAGGGCACGATCGCTGGGGGGGGAACTCTGTGGTGGCCCCCTCCCTTGGGGTACGTTGCTTAATGGTACATGGGAATGGCCTTGGGAGACAGAAGGGAGAGCGGCAGTTGGGACAATCGGCCTGTAAAAGGGATCTCAGTCCATAGAAGGAGGGAGGGCGTGGGAAAAGTTTCAGAAGGGGCCCTCCCTAGTTTTCCGGAGAGTAAAAGGAAAGGAGGGAGAAAGACTTTCAGTCTTGCAAGATTCTGTTAAAGGAACCTGACCATGAAGATAGAGCAAGGGCTTCTGGGTGGGCTTCTTGTCTGGACTACCTCGCAGGGCTAACAGGCTGCACACACACACACGCACACATCCTAGCAGCCTTACATGGCTTTGACTCCATATTTTCCCGAAGGCTGCCGAGCAGCGTGCTTCCATAGCATCTCTTCATCGATCCCCAGGGCGGCCAAGACTTTGGA